TACATGTCTTTAAAATCAAAGTCTTTTCCTTCTGGGGAAAAAAAAAAAAAAAAGAAAAAAGAAAAAAATAAAGAAAATCATAGTAAGAACGATCCCCGTGGTAGCTTAAGAGACAGAGTAATGGGGAAGTATGATATTATGGAAGGGTTCTGCCTGAAACAGCAGTAGCAAGCCAGCTTGTACTGAATTCACCACCACAGCCCACCAGCTGTGCTTTCACAGGTGTGTATGTTGTCATGGCCATACACATGCCTGGCTGTAGACTACATTCATTTTAACCCCAAGCCATCAAATTTAGTCATTTGCTGATGTAGAGAAGGAGTGTATGGTGGACGAAACTTTCCAAACAGCTGTCCCACTGAAAGCACAATAACACAGAACTCTGGCTATAGACCCTTCCCTTTCCACTACTGGTGACCTGCTGATACATAGAAAACTAAAAATGAATCAGTAAATAATGATACATCTCTTCAACTTTTATAATTGTGTCAGAAGGGGACAGCTAAAGGCAGCATAAATGCAACATGAGAGTTGGGATAAGTGTGGAGTTTAGTGTGTGGGTTTTGCCTTTTTTCTTTATTTTTCTAAAATCAGACTGGTTTGGCATACATAACCCATGCTATCCCTTTCCTCATGTACTCATCCATAAGCCATGGAATTCAACTGTTTATTCCAAGTCTTCATGTTGTATTAGCTTCCCTCTATCTGTATTTATTATATATATATATGTGTATGTGTATATCTCTATATATCTACATATATACACACATAGCAATTGTGCAACTAGTAACTTTCCATTGAGTGTATGAGTGTATCCATTTCATTTGGACAGATACAAATCAACTAGCATATCTTGGTGTGAGGCAAGAGAACAGTGTAGTTAACGGGTTGTGTGGTTTACTTAGTAGAATAGTCAGCTATATCTGCTTTAAATACAATAATGACAATTGCTAATGTACTTTGCATGTTAATTCTGAAGGTTATAGATCACAGAGTTAATTGAGATAAAATAATTGTTATTTTAGTTATTTATCTGTTTGTTAGCATCAGACAGTGTACCTCAGACAACGGAATTTCTAGAGGTGCGATAAAAGGAAGATAGGATCAGAGTTTGCCTTGAACTTGATGTTCTCAAGCTGATGTTTGTTTTCTCATTAAGCAAGACATTATTAAACCATTCAGAAATAAACTTAGCCATTAGACAAACAGTGATGTAAAATTATGTATACAAAGTTCTGCTGTTTCAAGTGGCTGAGACTATTAGTAGCAATTTTAAAGAAAATTGGCAGCTTTCTCATTATTTCAGGCAGGATGTTTTTTCAAGGGAAGGACCAGTGATGTAACAGTTGTTAATATGTTTGTCTTTCTGTAGTGATAAAATATCTAAGCTTGGGCCCTACAAGCTGATTGTAAGTGAATAATTTAATAAATGAGTTTGTATTATAGTGATCCCTAACTTAAATGACTACAAAGAGACTAGGATGGATTATATGACTACAAGCCACAGCCATTTAAGCAAAAATTAAACCAATTTATGCTGGTGTCTTAGAGACATGTTGAAGTGGTCAGTCAAGCAAGGAAATCATCTGTGGGAGGCATCTAAGAAGTAGGTTTCTCTGCATGTTGCGAAAGACAGACTTTTGATAATACATAAGCACTCAACAATTCTGTGACAAATATTGCTGTTTTACTGTTCACAACAGACCAGTGAAAGCAATTTGTGGGGAGGTTTAGCTGAAAAATTTTGTCAAAATACGATTAATTGAATCACAAACAATTCTAGTAACGGAGTTGCTTTTTGATTTACATCAGTGTAAATGTGATGAGAACAGGTGTCAGAAAGTGTATGAGCCAGTGTTCACTCTTACCTAATCTTCTTCGATATCCAGTAGGAAATTCAGGTCATTTCCCTTTGTTTTAATCTTCAGACCTACAGTTACTGAACAAAACGTATATTAATAAATGCACATAGGCATACTGTAAAAGCACACACATAAGGTGTATAGACAATGGTTCAAATAGCAAGTAAACCACAAATGAGACCTTTGTTTCACTAATAAACTCCTCTCACTGATTGCTATGTCCAATTTGTGTTTTAACAGCAGATACTTTTTCTAAGTAAAATGATTTTCTCACAAGAATTTTTGTTCACGTTACAAAATGAAAGCAAGTTCACTGCCTTTCTGACTCTCAACAGCATTGTATGTCCATAGACACAGACTGAAATAAACATTGTCATGACCAAAATAGGTAGGTAGAAATAAGTGCTCTATTATAAAACCAGCAAGCTTGGTTGCACAAATGTTAAACATAATTAACTATTAAAAAACAAAGCAACCAATTTTGTTAAATCTCTACTTTTTCATGATACTGCAGAAAAACTTACAAATTATTGTTGCTCCTTTGTTCCAGGAAATTATTTTAATTTTGAGCTGGAGTTGGCAATCTTATTCAGGTAGGAAAACTCAGATTCTAATATGGTTCCTCACCTGCATAACACTACAGAAAGTGCCATGATCTCTTGTTAAATGGGGTTTGTTCTCCGGTACAGAGAAGGAGCAACATTAACATGGCAGCTTCATCTTCTCTTTGCATGCTTAGGGAGTCCACTGATTAGTTCTGTCTGAAGCCTAGAGACAAACAGTAAAGGCTGGAGGCTTTAATACAGGTGCAGAAGTAACAGGATAATGGTGAATGGAGGCTTCGACATATCTATCTTGATTCAGCGTTTCAGCCATGAGGCTGACCTCTCTACCTGTCAAAAAGCTGTGGTGTTATCCAAGAAAGATCTCTTGTCCCCGGGTAGAGTCTTCCCACTGTTAGCGTAGTTCCAGGCAGAAGGGATTTTTCTTTGTTCCTCATTTTGGATGTCCTTGCAATGATCCAGCAAATGCTATGTAAGCCTTGGTTTAAAAGAGAAATGAGTAGCTTTATCTGGAACTTGCTAGAAATGACACTAATGTCAGTGGGTGACTTCCCAGAGGTGGGTTTTGCCAGATACAGAGTGACGAAGAAAGCAAGCAGAAAAAGAGCGTTTGTGGGGGAGAGCATTATAATTTCTTTTATTCAAGATAGAGGTTTCATAGATCAAAGCACAGAGTGCAGTTTATATTTGGGTGCATTTGGATGCATTCATTAAATATCCACATTGAAAATGCAGTTATGCTATGCATTTGTTGATTTTTTTTCTTTTGAAAAATTTGCCTGAAAAGAATATATTTTTTTTTAAAGACATGATTGTTGATGGTAAAGTAGCAGCAGATTACCATTACAAGGCATGGGCAGAGAAAGAGAACTAGAAGCATGCCCATGTTAAAGTTTGAGATCAGGCACTTCCCTGCTGAAATGCCTGCAGCTGCCTAACAGCCCACTCCTGAAGGCTTTGCTCAACAGAACCTCCTGCCAACCTCAGAGTACCACTTTGGTAACTGAAACACCTAAAGTGTGCTGCAAGAGAAACAAGGTCAGTGGGAAGTTGTACATCGGGACTGCAGGAGTTAGGCTGGAAGAGGAAAACAGACTCCTGTCTGAGGGCAGCTTATATCTTAGCAAGAAATCTACAATGTTAAGAAAGTCCACTGGGCAAAAGAAATCTATGATATTAGGGAAGTCCGCAACAAAAACTATTTTTTCCTCTGTCACTTTACTCCTTTTGATTAAAAAAAACCAAACCAAACCAAACCAAAAAAATAACCCCAAACCAACCAACTAACCCAAAAAAAAAAAAAAAAAAAAAAGCCCAAAAAGTAAAGAAAACAAAAAAAAGGACCTTTTTCATATTTGGTACAATACAGGAAGTTAGAGAAAAGCTACTATACAGCAAATTTTATCCACCAACACACATTTAATATCTAGTGTAGCATTATGGCAAACTAAATGCATGTTTGGACTTTATAATACTTCCCAAAATCTTTGCTACTGAAACATATACGTGTTATGGAATATATGCTCATAATCTCACTGTAGTAAAGACAACATACAGTATGACTTATAACTACGGTAAGAATGCTAACTAAAGAATGCAGCTGCAAAGTTCTATTGCATAAAGAAGCTTTCTTGTTTAAACTTTAAAGAAGCAAGTTTAGTAAAATATTCTAAGACACTTACCTTACCCTAGTCACTGGCAACTCTAATAAAAGCCACAGTCTGTCACTAGCATACTTTTTGTGTTAATTTTAAAAAAATTTGGTGTGAGCTTTGATGGATCTTTCACGATTCAATAACAAGATGATTATCTTGATACAATTAGAAGGGGTCTTTTAACCTTACATGCTCACAGAATAGAAAACAATTCATATTCATATATAACGAACACTTTTCTCCCCATGTTTGCAAACAAGTGTGGTAAGTCTACACACACAAAGAAATGCTCTTGTTATTCTTAACTGGAAACTGTGTGTATGTGTATGTATGTATATATATATTCAAAACTATGAGTATGTGTGTGAATATAGAATAGGGCATGTTTTTCTCCTTGCCCTTGTGTATGTAAGGACAGCTGCATAGAGGCTGAGAGAGATACCAGAGCTTCTGAGCAATCCTTTGCTTTTGCTGTTCTAATCAGCTTCTCGTGTACAAACATCCACCTCCTGAGGCATGTCTGCACAGCTGATGAAAGACTTACATTTTGTAGCCTGCCCTGGAAAATACAGGAGCATAAAGAAAGCTGACTATATCCCCTTTAAAAATCAGGCCCAGCACTCCCACCACTGTGAATCATGACTGGTCCAGTCCTGCTTTCCCAGAGCAGACCTTCACATCCCAGAACAGACCTTCATATCCCAGAACTTGCCTGCGCAGCTCACGCTGACATGGGGAGCACGAAGCAGTGCTCCTGCCCAACTGTAAATTCCTTCTGAGACATAAGGAAAGCAGTTCGGATCAGAAACAAGCCTGAGGGGGCTTCTATTTCTTGCTTTCTGACCCTGAGGTACAAGTGACACTACAGAGCCTTGGGCCTGATGTGACTGTCAGCAAAGTGGCTGTTGGAGCCTTGTGGTTGCAATAGGCTCTCCCTTTCTGGCCACACTCGAAACAGCAAACATGGTAGGTTTAGCTACGATAGAACAGTTACAATTCATCTGTAGCTGTATTATCCCTTGTCCACTCCAGATGAATATTTTACAAAAGCTAAACCTGTGGTATAACTCTTCTCTCTATATAAATATATATGTATATACATACACTCATACATATACAAATACTAACCCACAGACAAAATATTTTCTGAACGGTTCAATAGCAACAAGTCAACAGATAGATAGAGAAAAAACTAAGTCAATCTGTTTTCTGTTCCCCCAAACTCCAGTTTAGATATCCTGGTCTTGTAACATTCAGAGAAATTTCGCATCAGCCTTGCATCTTGCAAGACGGATACGTTAACAAATGGCAGGTAAGTTAAAGGCTGTCAAACACCAATATACAGTCAGACAGAGTAAGTGAGGCTGCAAATTAAACTGAATTTGGAGCAACTGAGGCCTAGTAGTGAAGAAAGTAAGTGAAAACTGCAATCTTCAGATCTGATGGTTTCTCTTTTCTTGTTGTCATGGCAACTCGGTACGACAGCTTCAAATTTCAGGAGTTCTTACAGACCTGTGCAACGGGAAATGCATGTGAGTATTACTACACAGACTGCAGTATCTTTAACTTTTTGGGGTTTTTCCCCCCCATCAAAATACTGATTGAGTGCATCCACATCACCAGTAATTACATATATATTACCCAGTTATTTGTGAAGTCAGAAATCTCCAAAAATAACCCCCCGGATGTTGCCTGGAGCATTCAGAGCCTTTTGTAGTGCAATTCAGGAAGATGTAGTGCATAAATCTCAAGCCAGGACCTGATTCTCCCTATTTGACACCTTGATCATTTATTTTAGTACAAGAGTGCAAGTAAAACGCCAGAGAGTTAGTCCCTCATGTGCACGCATTCTGACAAGCAGAAAGCAAATAAAGAATATCTTAAAAAATAACACATTTATAGTGCCTTATATTTTGTGCATATACCAGGGAATAAAAGAACTGGCACACCATATTAATGTTGCTACAGAATTATAAATCTTATGTAGACTGTCCACCTTTTTTTTTCTTTTTCAATAAAGTGAAGGTAGCATAACTTGAATGATTTTATCTGAAATAAGATGGGCACTCTGATAACACAAAGGTAGTGAAGAAAATCAGAAAAACAGAGATGAGGAGCAAATGTAACATTAGCTGTAGCTAATGGGTCACTTTCCTCCAATTTTGCTTAAATATTAGTAAATTGCAAATATTTGCCTTTGCCATAAAAACATATAAGGATAGAAAGAATAATATTCACAAAACACACAGCTAAATTTGATCTGGATCTTCTCAAACAAATTCAACTTCTGACCTTACAGTGGTGCTTTCCTGGTTGTACTGGTTTTGGCTGGGATGGAGTTAATTCTCTTCATAGTAGCAGGTATGGGGCTGTGTTTTGTATTTGTGCTGGAAACAGTGCTGATAACACAGGGATGTTTTGGTTACTGCTGAGCAGTGTTTACACAGAGTCAAGGTCTTTTCTGCTCCTCACCCCACAAGCAAGCAGGCGGAGAGGGTGCATAGGGAGTTGCGGAGGACACAGCTGGGATAGCTGAGCCCAACAGACCTGAGGGATATCCCATGCCCTGTGGCATCATGCTCAGCGTAGAAAGCTGGGGGAAAGGAGAAGGAAATAGGAGGAAATCTGGAGTGACAGTTTTTCTCTTCCCAGGTAACCACTGAGCCTGATGGAGCCCTGCTCTGCTGGGCATGGCTGAACACTGGCCTGCCCAGGGGAAGTGGTGAATGAATTCTTTATTTTGCTTTGTTTGTCTGCGTAGCTTCTGCTGTGCCTATTTAACTTTCCTTATCTTAACCCACGAGTTTTCTCACTTCTCCCCTTCTGATTCTCTTCCCTGTCCCACCAGGGGGAATGAGCAGCTCTGTGGTGTTCAGCTGTCTACTAGATTTAAGCCACAAAAATGCACCGAAGGCTTCATACTCTCTACCTAGTGAGGAGATAACTCCAGTATCAAAGCACCAAAATGCAAGTCAAACATACACATCAAAACTCACAAACATTCAGGAAATGTTTGTCTAATATATATTGCACCTCTACACTTAAACGGTGCAATATCAATAGTTTCGTCACAGCCACAGACACATGCAGCGCGAACAGCTTGTTGTTATGGTCATTATTAGATGCTGGTTTGTGCTCTTGTTTTTAATTATCTGCTTTTCTTTTGGGGCAAATCAAGTTTAATATAATTATCGATAAGGCTATTTTACTTTATCTGTTTCTTTCTTGTTATTATCTTGATATTGTTTGAATTGACTTCAGTATTAAATTCTGCCAGCTGGAGGCCTGTCCAGATGGGTTGTGCAGCAAGTCAGACACCTGGATAGCATGGAACAGCCTGTTCTTTCCCCTGCAGCATAACCTCAGTTCTGTTAAACAAAGGTCAGTAAAGCAAATTAAGCGAGTGTAAGAATCTACAGAGGGAGTGATGGATGGGGCTTACTGAAGTGAGATGTATCACTGAGATTTCCAAAGAAGACAAATATGGAACAGCTAGGTTCATGGATTTTTACCACGCTGTTTAAAGAAAATGTCTGGCCACAAAATTAGGACCCAGACTTAAACATAGGAAATTTATGATCATAACTTGGCAAAGTTTGGATATATTTGGATTAGGGATTACAGCTAGGACTAAATTCTGATAAACAACTTTATCTCCTGGGGTAGTGAAAAACAAAAGTTAAGCACCCTGAACTTACAGACCATCTGAAAAATAACATTTCCTGATCACAGTGGAGCTTAGTGTCATTAAAGGACATTTGTTTAATCCTGACTCAAAGGAAGTAACACCAGCCTTTGGCTTGGCAAAGGTACTCTGAATCTTTAGGAGATCCCTGAAGGTCTTCCTTCTAGGGACAGGCACTTGTACATGATGGATGAACAGCAGCTGTAGCACTGAATTTTGTACAATCCATAGGCTGAAACTTCAGCAGAGGAATCTGTCATCACAAAATTAGTAAGTATCACATGGATTCAAGGAGCTAGTGACTGCTTCACTAACAGCATGTAAATAAAGGGCAATATTTGTTGATTTATGTGCAGACCTGAAGAAAAGCTTGTATATTTTACATCATATTGACAGATATAACAGATGTTACTACCTTATCACACACCTTGCCTTTTCTGAGTAAACTACGTATTAAAACTAGATAGTTTGGGTTTAATTATGAATATGTTTTCTTCCTATGCTAGTTTTCTATCTATTAAAGATCAGTTTCTCTCTCACACAAAACAAGCATGCTTTTGATTCTCCCTGTTACCCCACCTGCCTCTTTAAGCACCACCTCAATCCTTCTCCATTTCATCTCAGTCTACAGTCCCTGCCAGTTCTTTTTTTTCTACTGAAACTACTTCTCAACTTCATCCTTTCTGTCCTATCACCTGCCTTTGGCCCATCTAATCACATGCCTGGAAATGTGATGTTCCCTTGGTTCCTGCCACTATCTCCTTTACTGTCATTTCTCTAATCACTTTTCCAGCATGTCCTTTGGTCTTATTCCCTCCATCCCAGGTTTTTAGGGAAACCCTCCACTTTAATTTCCTCCACTTTAATTTCTTCCCCTTATTTGTGACACCATTTATGCACTTCATCAATCACTTCAATGCTGATAGTCCACAGATCTTACTTCCTTTCAACCAATCACTTCAGTGCTTATAGTCCACGGATCTTGCTTTCTTTACCTGCTTTTCCATTTAGACCAGAAGAGTTGAGCTCTTACTTTGATACCTTTTTAATGCTTAGCTGAGAGCTCTGCACAGCTAAAACTGAGCTCTTAAATATTTTCCCTAAAGCACTCCCTTCCAGTTCTTCCTTTGATTGCTCAAGACAAGAGTATTATCCTGCCTCTTATTCAAGCCTAAAAACAGAAACAAACTGGAAAAGGTTTTTTGGCATGGAATCTCTTTTCTAGGTGTGTGTATTAGGTTACGTCTTAATCTAGAGGATTCTTTTTCACACATTGTCCCAAAGGGCTTTTTCCAGCCATTCAAACAGCTAAATCTCCTACCCAGGCTCTACTCAGTTAGCAGTTTTGCAACATCTTTTCATAGCCCTTGACAAATTCAAGCTACTGTGTGCTCGTATCTTGTCAGTCTCTCGCTGAAGAGAGCATTTTCCCAGTCTGCCACTTTGACAAAACCTCTGTTACTGCGACTCCTTCATGGCCTCTTGCCTACTGCACATATTTTCCTGGATTATCCCTACATGACCTGTTTTTCCTCTCATTCACAGCCCATGATGACAGATTTCATTGACATATTTGGGGTTTTCCCCAAGCTTTCCCATGTAATAGGAGCTCCATAAAATGCTGTCTCCTTAACATCTGCTTTGCTGACACATCTACAAAAATCTTGGCATGGTTAGAGGGTGCCAAGAGTATTATGAATTCAGCTCAGCCCTTTCACCAGCCTCAACTGGAGTTGTATTTAAAGAATTATCTTATTCCAGACATTGTTTGGAAGAATAGGATATATGCCTCTGGTCTTGACTTGACCCTTTCATAAAAGTGGATTGCTGAAGGAGTGACTTTTGGCTTTTAAAATCAGCTTCAACATTCAAAATTATGGGCTATAAAATTTCAGTAGTAATCATCTTTGTCAGTTCCAGTAAAAGTGCTGTTATTGTTCTTTCCATTGCACAGAAAATTGCTTATGTCCGATACAGAAGTTAGTCTATGTTTAGTTTCTTCAGTTAATAACAGAAACTATCAGCGACAAACGTATTTTCTAAAAATATTCTGATATAGTCATATCATTAGTTACTGGACAAACATTCTGGGCAGTAACTCCCTTAATACCAAATCTATAGAAATCAACAAAAACAAAGTATTGTGCAAAAAACTGAATGATGAATCTAAGCAGATTTTCTGAAATCTACAGAAATACTCTATTGTAAATTCTCTGGGGAATCTCCATATTTAAAACCTCTCTGTTATCCCAACTGGATTTCCAATGTTCATTATCGTTTTCTGTATAGAAATTGCAGTTTTCTCATTTGGCTTTTTTTTTTCTTTATTCTCCCCATAAAGAAGGACCAAAAGAAAGTTCCAGAAATACACACACACTTGCAAATTATTAGGGTCTACTTCTTATTTGAGCCCCATGTCTAAAGACTACTGACTTCCAGGGTTTATTCACTGACTTCAATGAAATTATGTTGATTATTTAACTTATTTAACCCGTTATAATGTATTTTATATCACTCATGATGTAAAGTTTGCAGCTGGCAACAGCACAAAAAAGATATTAGTATTTAAGGAATACTGTCTGTATAAAATGTGCAAATAATGTGTGCAGGGAGCACATTTGCTGATCCATGCTAACTATCTCTTTTAGGAACTTAATGCCCTGATAAGCCTGCGCCTGGCAGGTTTAGATCTGTACACTAATGATCATTATGAGTAGCAATTATTTAATTTTCCTTGTATTGGTTGTTAAGAACAGCACTGTCTCCATTGCTGGTCTCAGCACTCCAGAGTTGTTACACACCATGTGTTGTTTTAAATGTGATTTCT